AAAACATATTTCGAGAATTTACGGGCACACGCGCGCGAATCTTAGTACCGCGGAAACGTCTAAATGAGAATGTTTTCGAGCGAGATAAATCGTCCGTCATACAAGAATAACAGAAAAGTTTGAATTCAATATCGCACAGAGCGTCGCGCGCGCGCGCCGGTGCGCGTTCGTAAGTTATTGAGTTTCAAAGTGCAATAGTCAATTCGACGATACGTGCCGCGCGTACACTGCCGATTCGCCGGCGGTCGGTGTGACGAATTTTACTTCCGAACTTTGAAATCCAATAACTCACGGCTCGGTCATCGAATCGACGTGTTACCGGACGGTTTGCCGAGTTTCAGGCAAGCTCATCGCTCTTCATGCGTTTCGCTCCTTGCGACGGACGCACGGCGGACTTATACTACTCCGCGAAGCCGAATTTATGGAGCTCCGACGCGCGATGTATATCTTGCGGCATTAAATATGGAATAAATTCAAAGCGATGATATTCGCGTATCTTATGGAGGGATAAATCTGCGAGTTCAAATTTCGGTGCCCTGTGACTATATAAAGATAATCTCTCTTGACGTAAAATGAAATAAAAGAAGAAAGAGTTACTTTCAAATATGATATATACAAAATTCTTTTAAATAACAATATTTTTCGTGTCAATCTTCGAATAGTATTTTGTTATTTTTTGAAAGAAAGTGTTCTATAAGCGAGTAATGCACACGCATAGATAATTTTCAATAAACGCAGCTATAGAAATATTAGTTCTTTTACAGCATTAATGATATTAGCAATTATCATTCTTTGATTCATTTATATCTAAAATAATATACGAAAATCAATTTTCTCTATTACTTATATTTTTATAGTTGTACGTAAAAAAAGTACGAGCAAAGTTCACTGAGAAACAAAAATGTTATGTGCAATATAAATGTTCCCAAGAAACAATACGTGTTACCATTAAAGTGTTCAGCATTTTTCACCATATATAATCCACTTTTTTATTGGATTATAAAGATGTAAAGGATTTTTACAGCAGAAATATCTCGCGCTAATCATATTCTTGGTAATAATCATTAGATGTCGCATCAATTACGACGTTTAGATCTACGACGTGTCGACTAAACGTCATTACACCCATCCTCTCCTCGTCCCCGTCTCGTCAAAGTATATAATTACGCTTTAATTATCTTCCGCTCGAGGTGATTCCGCGGTTCCGTGTGAGCGAACGTTCGTGTGCGACTAAACACGGTGACTACATGACTCTTACACAGACTAGACGCGTGTACGTCCACGCGGCACTTCGATCGAGCTTCCCTGGCTAATAGAGATTCCGTGAAGCTTGTCGTTTCCTACCGGAAGAAACTTCGATTCCGTGATAACTTAGGGTATGCAATTACCATCCATCTAGCGGATGACTTGGGCAGCCAAACTGGTCCCGACCCAAGGATTGGAAAAGATGAAAATATATTGAAACATATAGATCAGAGATTTATAAGTCGACAGCTAGCAATCAATGTAATTAATTTTTTTATTCTTAATTGCCAAAATAATGATAATGTTTAGTAATTATTAAATTTGAAAAAAATACCGATCGTTGCGTTAATGGTTTGTTAAATTAATGGATAAGCAGATAAAAATTTCAATATAAAAAAAGACGCAAAAAGTACATAAGAAAATGAGAAATAAACCAGCATAGATAAGATAAGAAATAAGAAAATAAGAACATTTTCCAAACTTTTCTCTGGTTTGTCTGATTTTTCGACAATTTATTATTACGATTTGTATTATAATATCAGAGAGATATCCATGGGCGAATCGGTGAATCGAATACACGAACCGTACGAATGGCACGTTCGAACTATTGTACATTCGTATCGCGACTGCTGCGAAGAGCAAATCGATCTGTCATGTATATTCGGGAAGCACGCAAAGGAAAATTCATGGTCGTTGGCTGACCCAGCGGAGACCTTCAAGATGCTCCCTTTCCGCTGGGCGACCAAATCGCTTCTCTCTTCCTTTTTTCCACGTGTTCCTCTGTTATCTTCCTTCTTTTTCCGCCCATATTCGATGACGGATCGTTTTGCCGAATTGAGATTTGCTGAGTAACGATTCACTGTTTCTTTCTCTCTGCATCCTCGTTTTTCCTTTTTTTTTCTTCCAATGGCTTCGATTCGCGGCAGCAACAGCCATCACTGTCGATGGTGGAATTCCGATCGGAAGATTAGAGAAAACGATCGCGCGGCAACACGGCAGTCGTCTAAAGCGTCCATGAAGAACTTACGCGGAGAAATCTCGCGAGAGTTACGACTTTCGTGGTCGAGTTAGGGGTCGAGGGGCATCTTTTTCCGAACAGGAAGAAAGTCGCTGGCTCGAGATAGAGGAGAGAGGGAAGCTGCAGGAGAAAGAGCGAGAAGTTTTCCCGCACGGACCCATCTCCGCGCTCTGGCGAGTAAATAAATAAAGTACGAAGAGACTGGGAAAAGTATCGAGATTTCTTCGTTGTTCGATCCGGCTAGCAGCATCTCAACCTCCTTCCCACCTCCGGATACGCGCTCCCACCTTTTTCTAGTCAGCTTTTATTTGTAATTTTATTTATCGTTTTCCTTTAACGTTAACCGCAAACTCGATACGTACTTTATTGCTTCGCCTCTTACCGATGCCTTTATGAGTTCCGCTTACACGATTTACCTTTGCGAGGCAAATGCGAGAAACGGCTTCGTCTTCCTTCATATTGTCTCTTCTGTGCTCGCACCTCTCCCGCCGGATTTTCCCCAGGTTGGTTCTTCTCTCTTCTATTTTTCGTTCGATCTTCTCGCCTATCTTTCTCTCTACGGCACTAGAGAGCCGCGGTCTTAATAATTCCGGATGGAAATGGAATTTGTACGTGCGCGCGCGTATCCGCGCTGTCGATGCAACAGTGATGGTATAGTTTTTCGCTTTCGGCGCACGTGTAAAATCTACTATCCGCTGGGAGGTCTAGTCCTTCATTACGATCTACCATTTGCGTTGTAACGAACGAACAGTGGTTTCGCCGCACACACCGCGCACTGTGCGCACGCTGTGCATACATATAGAGAATTCACGCCCGCTGGCTTGGAACTGGGTTGATATACATTAGTGATTATGCCGCGATACTTCGGTTTTATTGTGCGGTCCGTATACCCCGACGAATTATTTAGCGAACCCTGCGCCACCGGTCATTTATCGTTGTTATATCGAGGCAGGTACGCTATTGCGAGAGATCCTGCTACAGCCTGGTCATTCGAAAACTGATCAAATTAGCCTTCAGAGCCCTCTTTACGTAGCCTATAATTTGATTAATGGAGCAAATCGATTGAATTATTCAATGCAAAATTAACGCAATCACGACCGGTACGAATTACGGGGAGACCCGGCAATCTAAAAAGATATTTTAAATTCAATTATATGATATATATACTTTCATCCTTTTGGAAATATCATTTTTTATCGATTATGTTTTTGAGATTGTATATAAAGACGATGACTTTTAAAGAGAGTCGATAACAAGTTTTCTTATCCTATTCTATGTTTTCTATTCATGTATCAAACAAGCCGTATATAGTATCTATATTTATCTTTCTTTTCTTTTTTCTTTCTTTTATATTATAATATTATATAAATCTGGTACAAATCTTTTGCTCCAAGAATTTTTTCATTATTTAAATTCGCTTTTATCGATCCTAAGTGTTTAAAAAAAAACGATATTAGAGATTTTTAACGAAGTTCGCCGAACGAGATTTTGTTAGGTACGTCGTAAAATCGGATGTTGTAATTGGAGAGAATAATGAGGGAGGATGTGCCAAAGCGAAAGGAAGGTAATAGGTGCTCCGAGAAGAGGAATGCAGAAATTATGTAATGAGGGTGAAGTAGCGTCTTGTTTCAACGAGATGCGCATTATCTCTCTTGCGTATAAAATAAGAGTGTGTATCGATCGATAAGTCGCAGAACACATCTTGGCGGTACGCGCCTGTTTAACACGATCGTGTTTACGTGCTTTATGAACAAAAAGCAGGCAAGAGGCTTTGACTTTTCACAGTAAAATTCTCTCTGATATTTTCATAATTGAGTGCTTTATCGAGAGAGAGAGAAATTGAGCGAAAAATATAAGAAATAATAAATACGAGCTACTCAACTGTTTAATATTTTCTAAAGAGCATGGAACATTTTTCCTCTTAAATATACATATTCATAAATTAAAGACAAGCATATTTTCATTGTTAAAGCAATATGCACCTATGATTTTTTGATGAGTTAATTAATGCGAATTATAATATTTATTTTGCAATTTGCACAATACGAGAAGTTATCATTTTTAATACAAATATAATTTCGAACAAAATTGCATGAGTCATAAATGTATCAAAAAAATATAAGTGACTTGAATAAAGAAAATCGTTCTACGAAAGTGCTACAAGACGTATATGTAAAAGCAAAAAATCACAGTGCTAAACCTTAGAGAATTTCTTTCTAAATAAGAGCTTAAAGTTTTTTTCCTATAGGTAGTAATGTATCGTGTGATGATTTTTAGATATTTTTGGAAGCATAAGAGATTATTTACTTGTAGATAGAAAAGAGAGAAATAGTAGAAATACAAATTAAATTACAATTATATGAATTTTTAAATAGAAGAATTAATTACGTATTATTAATTTTTCACGATATAATTTAAAGAGACTTTTTAGAATTCAAATTACCGATATATATCTAATAAGATAATAAATAATTCTATATTGAACCGTTTCGTTTATATTTATACACTAAAACTAGAAGTAATTTATCTATTTTCACATGTAATTTTAATTATATGTCTGTGTGTATATATATATAGGATAAAATCATTAGTAGCATTATGGAATAAAATCATGATACCACGTGATAAAGCGAGTGTAGTCAGACAAAAGTGCATGCACGATTGTTGACATTATGACTACTTTGCGCACACAGAAAGCAGTTGACGTTTATACGGCTTATATGGCAAACATTCTCACTTGCATTCCAGAAGCGCAGTCCTGCCTTTAAGATGTACGCTGGGACATTTATTTGAAGTAGCTTCAGAGCAGCGACTGAAACAGAAAAAGAAAGTCCACATGAGATCACATAAATGTCAATTGCGAGTATATATGTTGTCACCCCGGAGGTGCTATCGATGCAATGTCATTGGAAATGCGAGACAACGATTTCCCGAGTGTTCGATTATAGTATTGATGATAAAAGGACGAAACAGATATTCGCTGAAAGCATTTTGAAATGATTTTTAGTTATAAATTATTTACATATACAGAATATTTTAAAGCAATATAACTCGTTTTTATCTGCAAAGAAAACAAATATATGTGCAGATATCTTTCAAAATGTCATTTTGATGAAATTGTTGTTGTGCTTGAAATATTTTTCTATACATTTTATAATTTTGATAATATCGGTTTAAAATCAAATTGTATCAATATCAATTAAAAATTCATTAAATAAAAATAAAATATAATAGCTTCAATTAACTGTTAACAAAAAATACATATTTTTATACGCTTGTTAAATAAAATGCAATTTTATAATAAAATATATTTTTATTTTTTGCGTTATTCCATGACATTTTTAAAGTTTATAAAGATGACTAAAAGACCATTGCAACAATTTTTGCTAGTTAAATCAAGTTAGATCACACACGTCAGAGACTCTTGTGAACAAGTGCTACTTTAATACTATTCAGCATGTAGGCAGACTTCAATGGAGAAGGTTTTCAAATGCAAGACGCTTTCTTTCACACAAAAATCGGTAAATCTCTTGACCCACCAAGCGCACAATAGCAGCATTAAAAAAGCAGCACTATAGTTATTCGATCTATCACGGATCCTTGCGTGAAGAAGTATCGCGTCGACCTTTTAATAGGGCCGGCAAAGCTTGGAAAATTGTGCCGCTATTAGATGATCCATAGGATTGAAAGTAGATCGCACTAGATGCTCAAATAATAGAGGATGGACTCTTATTAAGATATTTTTCGCGCGCGATTTATCTTCTATTTTCTATATCTCCTTTCATCTTCTACCCTCTCGATATACTGGATGAGCCAAAAATATGAGCAAACTGTTTCTTTTAACAGTTCGATTAGTTAGCTGTTAGAGAATTTGAGAGATAATACGCGAGTAAAATCAATATCTTTATATAGAACTTTAAATTAGATCCTTCGTTTCTTGTTTAAAATTTCGAATATTCGATATTCCTAACACGTTTCTATTCTTGTCAGTTAAAAGTAAAGAAAAATCCCCGAGGAGCCGTATAGAAATCTAACAATAAGTTCAACTCTTGTATTTGTCTTAACGTAGTGAAATATATATGTGTAATGTGCATAAGTATATATACGGATACGACGACTAATAGGGATATCTAAGTTTGTCGTCATTGTCGTCGTTTTATCGTCGTCGTCGTCGCCGTCAGAAAGACGGGAATGGAAAGCAAAAAGGTTGAGAACAAGAATTTCTAGGCAGAGACGAGCTGAAATTTTTAGTACCAGATTAAATGTAGAGACTAAAACATTCCAGGCGCACATTCCAAGTCTTCCCTCGTTTTACGTTCTTGTATTCGTAAATGTAACTCGTAGACAGTTCGTAAGACGACAATTTCGTACATACATATTAATTTGCCGTGAAATAAAGCAAAGAATATTTACGCTTGAAATAAAACGGAATAAAGACTTGTATTTACACATGTTTTTGACATAAGAGCAATGCATCGTTCATATGAAAGAAATATGTATTTTATAATGCGAGGTTTTCTTATGCAAGTTAATAGCAAAAAATTGACTTTTCGATATATGTAACAAGTTTTATTCTACAGTCGCTTCGCCAAATGAAATATTGATGCAGATAAGATAAACCGATGACTAAAGGATTTTCATAAACTTTAAAGAGTCTGGCATATCTCGAAATCTAACATCAATAATTTATCATGTATTCGAAATTATATAAATGAAGAATATCCACGTTGGAAAATTGATTTCTTTTCCAGTTATTATCGGTTTTATGCGTACGTCAAATTGCTTTTCCGACTAAATAAATTTCATTTCACCACTGTAACTGCAACGTCTATCGTCTTACTACCCTTTCGCTAGCCTGTCGATCCTTTGGAGCTTCCGACATGGTCTACCTGACATGGTAAGTACTAAAATTCGAACGTCACTTCGAAGTTTTCGCTCGTCCTAGGACATGTCTAAACAGTTTAGCCAGCGACGCGCGCACGGGAAACGTCGAGCAAACCAAAACTTTCTGCGGAAACGCGCGAGCTTTCGTAATTGGAGGTGGGGAGGAAGAAGTGGAGAAGGAAGGACTTGAATCTGCCTCCCGATTCTGCATATACCTCACAAAGTAAACTGGTAAACTAGTAATGTTCATCTCGGTGGAAATTGTTATGCCCTGTCAGAAGCAAGCTGGAAGTGATGTAGGTCCGAGGCAAATCCGAGTTTCGAGATCACTCTAAGAGGATTAGATAAGGGAGAACTGCCCACAACACCAGCGTAACACATTGTGTGGTTTTTAGGGCATTACAGTGAAAATCGATGCAATCCTCTTCTATCGTGTTTTCTTAAGCATTTATAAGCTTAACTCTGACCATCCTGAAAATAAATTATACATAACATTTCCATCGTGAAATAATGTGATTATGTTGTCTAAAAAAATCGTCCTTCTCTTTTCTAAAAAGTCACAATATTTTACAGTTAATCTGAGTTATATAATCCTCTTTCTAAATACATTTTTTCTGCGTAACATTCCACAGAGATGTCGACTAGTTCAATAGACAGCAATTTGTGCAAAGCAAACGTGCACGTAGTGTTATCCGTCCACGTGATCGTCGTTCGAGGGTAAAATTCAACGGGTCGACGTGGTTGAAACTGGACAAACGAGAAATAACGAACGCGTTCCGCGTTAACGATGCGACGTTACGCTATTATCCGCAGATCGGAAGGAGAAGTGACCCGATTGCATCGCTGCTTCGAACGAACGTAAAAAGCTCGTGGATGTCCGATTAAATTGCAGCTTAATCGCGGGCAATGCGATGATCGATCGATCGATATTACATCTTGCCGATCGTCGCCGATTTTCATTTTCACAGCGCGTCTATACTACAATAACGTAGTCCTTATTTCTGGTGTGTTCCAGCATCGGCCGTTGAATTACACGAATCGTGATAGATAAGCGGTCTCGCCTCGCTCTCGACAAGTCACTTTTGGTCCTGACGCCGACCGTGAGACTGCGATTATATTCCATCGAGAGGATCATGCTTCGATTTAGCCTGAAAATTAATTGCACCGGGATTTGGCTTTGCATAGCCACCAGAGCCGTCACCTCTTCACGAAATTTCCCAAGTTTCAGGCAATGATCGCGAATATCGTAGGCTCTCCATTTACAATGACTTAACGATTATACCGAAATTTGCATCGAGAACGCTTAACAATTTGCAGTTTATTTTTTTATAATATCACAAAATAAAAATGATAACTTGTAATAGGAAAATTATAAAAGATGATTTAATATATTTTTATATAAGTAAATTTTAATTTAATAGAAAACAATTTTAGAGCATGTGTTTGTATATGTACGTGTGTGTTGTATAATAGTATTTTGAAATTATAGAAAAAAATCGATATTTTACTGCAGAATATATTCAAATTAATTAAACTATTTATCATTAAAGATATAAAACATTCTGTATTCTATATTGTTCTTAGACACACACATATTATATATATATATTCTCTGTTCATTGACTTTTTTCATTTCATCATACTAATTTTCATCTTCGTAAGAGAGCAAATAATATTTCTTTATACGACGCACATAATCTCACGTGAATTAGGAACTTACGTGAACAATGCCACTTTATCAGTCCGTGAAACCACGGAACTATCCTGTTCTTGCTCTAAACGACATTAAGAGACACGCTTCTCGCGCGGACTATGCATTACCATGTTAGTGCGGGTTATGTTGTTCTTGCATTAGACAATGTGGGAAATGCTATTTCTAAGGATATGACAGGCTAATTTCGCTGTAACTTCTGTTGACAGCCTTTCCATATTACAGTTATTTAGCTGGTAAAAGTGAAATAAAGAAATACAAGAATACAAGTTTATTCTATATTTTTTCTGCCGATGCCGAATATTCATTTAGAAATATTTATTCTCTTTTTATAAAAATAATATTTCTAAAATAAATATTAATATAAATTATGAATGCAAACAAATATTAAAAAATATGTCACATGTAAAGTTTACATACAAACACACACATACACATACAAATTTTAATATTTATTCAAAATATTTATAAAAAAATAATACGTTTATATGTATTGATCTCTATACAAATAACTATATAAATATATTAATTTCTCTTTTCGATTTCGTACAATTACTCTAAATTTATCTGATATAGCACATATAAAGCAAAAATATTGTTCCTGAGAATGAAAAATTAGTGGACCACTATAAGTTTAATACCAAAGTTTCATGAATTCTTTTCAAAAATAAAAATTTCTATCGCTCTATTCGTAAAAGATTTAATAATATTACTCATATACACTTTAGCACAAAATCCCGCAATCTGCTTCATGATTGAATTTATGAACAATGTCTGCTATCGATCAGGATTTATTATCAAACTTGGCGCAATCTGGCAAGCCCATGCAATCACGAACCTCGAAGTCATCTTCCACCTCATATTTTTTTATCATATTTTATATCAAAAAATGTGAAACTGTAGAATTTTTAATAAGGACTCTATGAATATGCGTTATAACACACTAAATCCAGGAATGAGAGTACATCATAAAGTACGATACCTGCGAATAAAGGACGTGCGCGTGAAGAGGAAGTTCGCGTATATAGGGAGAGACTATAGAAACGCCTCGTGTTCTATTTTAATACTGACTTATCTAAGAGCGCAGCATAATAACGCACCTAAAAAAGCACTATCGTTGAAACTTCTTGCGAGCCGGGAGCACGCCGAGGTATCTTTAATTTATGCAGTGTCCGCGTTTCGGGTGCTACATCGAGAGAGCGGGAGAGAGACAGAAT